AAGCGCTTCCATGGCAGCTGAAGCAATTCCTCTTCACCCCAGCAGCCATCACTCCTGCTCCCAAACCCTGCTTCCCCCTCCCTGTGACAACTGCTTGCGTGGTTGTGCATGAATTGGACTGGAGGGGACACAGCTACTAGGACAAACCTCACCCTCAGAAGAGTGTCCTTGTATTGGGTTTGTGTGGCAAGGTTTTGGTAGCGGGGGGTTACAGGGGTGGCTTCAGTGAGAAGCTGCTGGGAGCTTCCCCTATGTCTGACAGAGCCAATGCCAGCCGGCTCTAAGACGGACCTGCACAGGCCAAGGCTGAGCCCATCAGTGATAGTGGTAGTTGCTCTGTGATAACATATTTAAGAAGGAAAAAAAGCTGCAGGGCACACAGAAATGGCAGCTGGAGAGAGGAGTGAGAACATGTAGGAGAAACAACCCTGCAGACCCCCAGGTCAGTGCAGAAGGATGGGGAGGAGGTCCTCCAGGTGCCGGAGCAGAGATTCCCCTGCAGCCTGTGAGGAAGACCATGGTGAGGCAGGCTGTCCCCCTGCAGCGCAGGGAGGTCCACGGTGGAGCAGATCTCCACCTGCAGCCTGGGGAGGACCCCATGCTGGAGTAGGGGGATGCCCAAAGGAGGCTGTGACCCCATGGGAACCCTGCGCTGAAGCAGGCTCCTGGCAGGACCTGCAGATCTGCAGAGAGAGGAGCCCACACTTGGAGCAGGTTTTCTGGCAGGACTTGTGACCCCGTGGGGGACCCACGCTGGAGCAGTGTGCTCCTGAAGGACTGCATGCCGTGGAAAGGATCCACACTGGAGCAGTTCATGAAGAACTCCAGCCCATGCTGGAGAAGTTTGTGGAGGACTGTCTCCTGTGGGAGGGACCCCACGCTGAAGCAGGGGAAGTGTGTGATGAGTCCTGCCCCTGAAGAGGATGAAGCGGCAGACACAATGTGTGATGAACTGACTGTAAACCCCATTCCCCATCCCCCTGCACTGCTGCGGGGTAGAGGTAGAGAATGTGGGAGTGAAGTTGTGCCTGGGAAGAAGGGAGGGGTGGAGGGAAGGTGTTTTGAGATTTGGTTTTATTTCTCATTACCCTACTCTGGTTGATTGGTAATAAATTGAGTTAATTTTCCCTAAGTTAAGTCTGTTTTGCCTGTGATGATAATTGGTGAGTGGTCTCTCCTGTCCTTATCTTGACCAATGACCCTTTGTTACACTTTTCTCTCCCCTGTCCAGCTGAGGCGGGGGGGGCAGTGATAGAGCAGCTTTGGTGGGCACCTGGCATCCAGCCAGGGTCAACCCACCACAGTCCTATAGGTGCAGAGTGGTGTGGTTTGTTCCTGGCCATGTAGGGTGTTGTGATGTGATGTGGAGCTGGTGAGACTGTATTTCAAACTTTGAGTACTTTCATATGCATGTGCCTCTCTTCTCCCTTCCAAGCATAAGCCTCCTGCTCTCCAGTGCAGTTCTTAAACCAAAGGCAGCAGGAGTGTGGCATGCTTGCCAGCAGGCCCTAGGATAAACAAGGGTTGCGGGCCAGTGCACAGCCCCAGCTGAGCAGGCAGGTAAGGAGGGTTGTTGGTGCAGGACTGCTGCGTGCCTGGTGCTGTTCTTCAAAAGCCCAACCTGGAACCACAGCTGGGGCTCTCCCCTCTTGTCCTCCAAAGCTGGGGGGTATGTGCTTCCTGGCTTTCAGGTAGGAGACCTCAGCAGAAGACTAGAAGGAAAAGGGTCAGCTATGCTTGCTCCTGTCTCCTGCCAGCACTCCGTTGCATTGCCGAGCAAGTCTTCTACATCTCTCAAACATGCACTGAGGACTTAAGGAAAGGAATAGTTGAATTCAAACAGCACACATAGTGAGGTTGTCTAGGCCAAGTGCAGTTTCAGGCCCTGTTAAAGACACACACCACACCCCACACCCCCCCCAACTCTCCTCAAGCCTGAAGACACTAACTGGTGTTTGCCTGGAGCATGGGCTGGGGAATTCATGCCTCAGCCAGCACTAAGAGGAGCTCACCTGGACATACCCTTGAAGCTGTCACTTGCAGAGTTCACTAGATTTTCTTGCTTGAGTGTTGAAGAGGTCAAGTGAATGGGCCAGGATGTCTCTACTTAAGCCTGTCATTTCTGTGAGACTGGAAATACCCCAGGGAAGGTCCCAACCACCCCCAACCCCTCTGAACCCAGCCCTTAGCCATTTTTTATCTCCAGTGCCTTGCCCCAGTACACCAGCCAGGCACCTCCTCCACATCACCGACAGGTCTTTGTGGCCAGGCACAGTGCCTGCTGTGTACAACATGGGTGTTTTACAATTCACATTCCTCAGGGTCCTGTTCTGTTGGAGGAACCGATGCTTTTTTTTTACCCCAGCTGATCTGCTGTAATGTCTAGGCACAAGGGCTGAGAAAACAGCAGCAGGTAATCTGATTGCTTTGGTTTTGGTAGGTCCTGTCTTAGCTGTTGCATTACTTGCAGTGCTGTTCTTTGAACACAACCATAGCTGTTGTCATTCATTTGCTCTGACACAACAGGGTTTCTGAGACCTTCTAATTTTTCCATGCTTTCCATAGCAAGAGTGAGAACTTGCTGATAATGCTTAATGTTTTCCTGCTGCAACACAACTGTTTCTGCTTTTGCCCAGAGCTGTAAAGCAAAACTTAAGCCTCCACAACTGCTCCAGTCAGTTGGCAAATGCAGTGCCAGAGTGAAGAGTGTGTCTGACACAGCCCAGGTTATTGACAAAGTGCGTGCGAGCCTTGTCCTCAGTTCTTAATTAGGGAGGGAATTAACCTAGATACCAGTTCCTCCACCAGAGACACAGGTAGCCTTTCCCAAAAGCACTGCAGAAGACCTTCCTTAGAAGCCAAAGAAGGGGGACAGAAGAGGGTGAACCATGGGCAGAATCAAACCTAAATCCCTCAGTCTATACTGCACTGAGAGACTCCTGAGAGAGAAGAGTAAATAAATCGCAGCTCATAGAAGCAAGCATGCCTTGTCCTCAGCAGACAGGAACACTTTTAACTTTGGTAAAGCTCTGCTAAGGCCTTAGGTGAGGAAGGTGAAGGCCTTAAGGAGCAGCTACAGCTCCTGCCCATCTCTCAGCACACAGGGGCAAGACATGCAGAAAACAAGCACCTGGCTCTCTGGACCAGCTGGATGCTCAGGGTCAGCCCGCAGAGGCAGACAGCCCCAGGACAGCTGAAGCCTGCTCTGACAACCAGAGGCACCTGCGTGTCTCAAGATCTCCCCCTGCAGTGACAGAAGAAACTGAGCAAGCACTGAGCTCTGGGAAGCCACAGGTCCCATCCTCCTGTGTTGCACCAATGTGCTGGGTGATGGGTCACCCCTTCTTTCTCCTGCTCCTTAAGAAGGTACCAGGCAACATCATGCAGACCAGCCTTCCAGTTTCCCCATGGACAACTGAGGCCCCTTAGCTACCCCTTCCCCTATTTCATGATTCTAGAAGCTGGCTGCTACACCCCCAACCACCTCCAGCTTAATCAGTAACTTTTAACACAGAACAGCCTCAAACCTTGAACCTCGCTGCTCCTTGGCTTTGCCCCAACACCCGAGGGTTACAGGATATTGAGAAATTGGTGCTCAATACAAGCTGCAAGTATTTGTGAAAAACCATCTTACTGAGGACTCAGCAGTGAGATTTACCCAGCTCAGACTGGTCAGTGTAGGGTCCAAAAATCATATGTATTCATTAGATAAAGAAAGATAAGTAAGGGAAAGAGGCTACTACATTCACCTTCCTTGGAGTTCTAGAAGTCAAAATTGGATGTTGTCCTCTTGGTCAGTGTATGCTGACAACACACAGTTTGTGGTCAACAGCCCAGGAGATCTAGGTATGCGAGCCAGCTCCCTCCACCCCACAGGCTGGCTTGGCCAAGAACCCAGTGGTCAGGGTCAGGACTCCCACACATACTGCCACAGCACAGTCTTGCTGCCTCACTTCCTCTGTTCATCTAAACCACAGGCAAGAGCATCTCTGGGCAGAGCACCTGCCATTACATTTTCATTAGGAAATAGTTGTCTGCTCCTTAGTCAACCTCAATCTGAAAACACAGAATTTCTTCTGGCCAGGTCTCTGCAGATATTCCCATCTTCAAAGACAGTGGTCTCCAAAGTGAGGTGTGCAAGTCAAGCCAAAGACAAGACACTGTCCAAAGTGGTACACAGGCAAGGGGGGTGCAGGAAGAAAATATTTTTTGCACCATTAATAATATTATTTTTTCAAGTATTTCACCTTTTTACACCTGTTTTTGTGTAGTTTTATAACATAGATGATATATTAGTACAGTAGTAGATGTACGTAATTTATAAATAATTTGGGGGGCACACACTCAAAAACTTTTTACAGATAGGGGCATGTGATCAAAGAGTTTGGAGACCACTGTTCTAAGAAAAGCAGGATCTTCAAAGACAGCTTTATGCCTTGTTTTTAAAGACAACACTAGTTCCTTCGGAACTCAAGTAAGGCTGATGTGCAAGCATGCTGAACCATGCCTTCCTCTGATAAGGCCAGCAGCTCCTCAGTATCGTGGGATACAGTGGCATCACCGAGACCACTCCCAATCCATGGATTGTCATCATCTTGGCATAAGACAGAGCAGCCCCTGGAAGCTGTAGTAGTCTGCCCTGGCTCCCCTCACAATCCCAGAGGACAGGCAACCTTACACAGCTCATCTCTGACATTTTATGTCAGCAGGGAGAGCAACACTGAGCTTGCCTGCCTTTGACCACACCGCTCACATGCTCACCCTCCAAAACCCAGCCAGCAGTAGCTTAATAAGTCCTCCTGCAAAAAGGAATCCCCATCAGGCCACCTGCCTCTACTTATCAAGCCCACAAGTTATCAGATAAAGGCTTTGGCCCTCCTTTCAATTTCAACTTCTGCTTAAAAGCCTACTTCTCAATTTGTCTGCAGAAATCCACTTTAAAAAAAAAACACAAAAAAACAACCACCAAACAAACCAACACAAACACCACCACACTATCGAAAGATTAAGAACATCAATCTTTATTCCACCAAGAGAGAACTACAGAACACCTGTAACCCTTCTGGTCGTCTTTTATGGAAATCTTGAAACACTGGACACACTGACTTACTGTTCAAACTATAACAATCAGGGATAGGATGATGGCACTGCTAAAGAGAAGTGTTTCTTCTAAACAAACTAAAACTTAAGGTTTAAAAGCTAACTTTCATTTCTGATGCTTAGCTTTGTCTTCATGTGTTCTTGCTTAGCAACAAAAGCAAAAAAAATAAGCCTGCTTTAGAACAGCAAGTAGGAATAAACAGAAGATGTAATCATACAAAGAAGCAATAGTTTAGTATGGTCTCATGCGGCTTGATGGGGGCGGTGCGCGATTCGGAGGAGTAATTGCTATATCCAAGTAGTCTCCTATCTGGAATTTCTGAGACTGCAATGTCATGGAATCATCTGTGCCCTTCCTGCCCGACATCGTACTCCCAATCTCCTTCACCCTGCACGCAAGAGAGGAAAGGCAAGTTAGTTATCAGAGGCAAATCTCTCTAGATGTCCAAAGCAGGAACTGTATCGGCTCAGAACAACCTTCCCATGCCATCCTCTGCACTGTATTTAGCATTTAACTAGGTTCACAGCTTGCTGGGGTTTTTCTCTCCAGTACCAGGTGCAGCAAGAAAAGCTACACTGAATCCTCTTTCTCATGGGGCAGAGGGGTGATGGAACCTTCTACTGTATTAAGTTAAATACTAGAGAGAAGCCCTTGCCCCCTTCCATACAGACACAGAACAAGACCCCACAGATTGCAGAGCAGGCTATATGCACTGGTTGCTGACAAAGGTTAGCTCACACATACCGTTTTTGAGGACAGACACCTGCAACAAGATCACTGCTAAAACTCAAATGCATTCTCAGATGCAAGACCTACCACACCTCCTATCACCAGAAACAAAGCTTTATCTCAGGCTGTAGGTCCATGTTCTGGTGGGCTGCCCATAACAGTGACCAAAGTCTTCAAGCACACAGCTTCATTGTTTTGGGAACACACTAACAATGAAGGTCACCAAGCGAAATTTAGAATTTGTAGTGGTCATCATGAAGTGTGTTATCAAGAACTTCATAAGTTTGGTATGTGGGTCCTGAACTTTCAAATCAGTGTTAATGCAAAATAATTTACTGCTCCAGTGCCTGAATTCTTCTACTAACCCAGAGAAGAAATGCCATTTACCTATACCCAGGCCTCTTCAGATCTGTAAAAACAATTGCAAAATTGAAGTGTGTGCCCTTCTTCCGTGCTTCCGGGTAAACTTCTTTCACTAAGCTGGTCAGCTCTTTCAGAGTTGCATCCATCCTAAATTAAACAAACAAACCAAAGCGGTTCACATTCTCAAAAGCAACAATGATAAAACAAGCTTCCCCAAACCCATTTAAGATGGAATCAATAATATTGTTACAACTTAAACCATGTATTTCCTTGCCTTTGCATACTTTCTGTTGATATCTGAAGATGAGCAAGATGTTACATTTTGGCTACCCAGTGAGCCACTGATTTCACAACTATACAACATTCCAAACACACTTTGTCTAACAATCAAGTGGCAAGAAGTTGCTCTAATTATTGATTATAACACCTGGGAGAAGTCACCACTTACTGTACACTGGAGGCAACATGGTCTAGTGCAAATGTAGCTTCTAATTAGCTTCCAATTTACTGTGTTATTAAGACAAATCTCTTCACCTCCATATACATGTCAACATCTGCTTTTCCAGGTGTCTCAGAAGAGTTACCATTTATACAGTGGGGGCCTATTTAAGTGTATTGATGCATTTATACAATGAACAACGTAATAGTGTTTCCTTACCTAAGTTAACATCTATGTTAAAATAGTTTCTTGAATATTAGAGGAAGTTTAAGAAAAGAAGGAAAAAAAATGAACACGAGTTTTCCATTTCCATCCAGATTTCCATTTCTGCCCGAACAGGCAGCACTCCTTTTCTCAGCCTCCAACCAGACCAGGGCTAAAGCTCATTTCTAGAATTTCAAGAACAAAAGGACTCAATCATCACAACTAAAGCGGCTCTAATTATACAGACTGTACACTAACTCCAAGCAACCAAGGAGCAATGTGTTGACAGACAATACCCATTCTGACTTCCGCAGATGGCAAACAGCTCAGATGCCATCAATAGCCTGGACTGAATCCATAAATCCCATTAAGAAGTGAATTAGAACTGCATGCTTTGCTAGCCACAAAAATGGATTTATTCAACCGTATGACATACAAGTTATACCCCCAACAGATACCTTGAAGAAAAAACAAGATTTTAAGAGTACTATAATTTACTTTCAAAAGCATTCTTAAAAATACCATAAACAAAAACTAACGTGTTTGCAACACAGACTAAAGCAGAGCTCCAAACTAAACATGAAAGCAATAAAAAGCAGCTCTCTGTTAAAGCACTGCTACCTGACCGCACCAAAATAAACACGTTATTCCACTCTCAAGAAGGTCCGACGTAAACCAATGTACCATTCACACAACAGTTCAAGCCTTCCGAGACAACTACTTCTACTGAAAAAAACAGGGCTGTTGGAACAGAACTTAAGCATTAAAGGACAACCTCCGTGTTGAACAGATTCGTTGTGATAACCAAAGATACGCCACAAGGCGAGCCTCCCATGGCGTGCATCAGTAACTGGGCAATTCAACCGCAGCAAGTTTCAGGGAACAGCAACCGGCTGCGCTTCCACGGATGCCCCCACGCCTAAGCTGCCGTGGCTGTAGGCAGCAGCCATCCCTTTCGCCTGCCCCCGCGGAGCCCACAATCCCCCCCCCCCCCCCGAAAACTCCCCCGCGTTTCCTGCTTTAAACGAGGCCTCTCGAACTCCCCCTCGCAGCTGACTGTCTACCAGACAAAGACTTCAAGCCCCCCGACGACACCGCCAGGAGCCCCGCTCGCCTCCGTGCCGGGGGGCCGGCCGGGGAGGGGGGTGTGTGCCGCACACTCACCAGGTGTAGATCTGCAGCTCGCTGGAGGGCACGTTGCCGCGGGAGAACTCGTCCATGCGGTGGTGCCGCCCGTTGTTGGTGGTGAAGACGCGAAGCAGCAGCGGGCACGTCTGCGGGGCGAGCCGAGGATGTGGGGCCGGGCGAGGACACGGGGCCACTCGCCATGTCCCCCCGGCCCGTCCTCCCCCCGCCCCCGGCCCGAGGCCT